TATATTATAGTTTTGGCTTTGGGGGTGTGGCTGCCCTGCTTTACTTCACATTTGCATCACTGAAGCAGACACATATTTACCAAAATGCCCTTTTTATGTAAACAATCAGCTTTTTCATTAAATGTGAATATATACCTCTAATTAATATGACTAAAGAATCACAGATGGCCCTTAACTGATTAATTTGAATGAAGACAAATTGGAAAGTCACTAGCGGTGACTTCTATCTAACATCAAACTTTCTGGTCAAAGACCTTGACAAAATGTATTTTTAAGCACAATGTACACTCAGAGCTTACAGAGGTCAATGTGATTTAACATGTAGCTAAAACAGAGGCTTCCTGTGTAGTCTAAGGCTTGTCTAATGACTGCAAGGATGCAGGGAGCGCTTTTACAACATTTAGGCTGAAGATTTGTTTCATTTATTTAACAGAGTCAGTGTGGTTACTACATTATACGGCCAAGACCACCTGCCACTACATGGATAAACCAAGGAACATAAACCTGTTCAGTTAAACTGTGCAAAAATCAAGTGCTAGATACAATTAGAAAGAACCAGACAATTTAGTTTTGTTACCTATTTGAGCAGTATGGGAGGATAATTTTAGCATTAACAGCTGTTCTCTTTTGGGAATGAGGTATGATATTGTCAAAAGGCAAAAAGACCCCTAGGAGCGCAAAAATAGAGCATAACATGTGTTTACAATATATTTTCCTGATACAGACGTGTATGACACTCTACGGGACATGAGGTAATCTGGCTTCACATTAGAAGAATTACACCTAAATGTGTAGATGAGTGTAAGAGAGTGGTAGCTCATGAGATTTGAGAGTGCACATGAGTGAACTGTCATGTCCTCAGGGCCCAAATCAGACAGGCAGACACAGAATGAATGTGGCCAGGCAATAAAAGGTGTCTGCATCCAGATGGGCCTCAATCCAGCTCCCATGGGCAAAATTCCTTGACCCTAAGACTCGGCATCCAGCACAGTGGTCAGGCTATCTGCTGCCTGACCGAAACAGTCATTAGACAGCAATACTGACATACTGAAGATTCATCATCATCATCATCATCATCATCATCATCCATCGATGATCTATACCCACTTATCACTGAGGGTTATGGGGAGCCTATGCTAGCTGACAGTAGGCGAGAGGCGGGGTTCACCCTGAACAGATTGACAGTCTGTCTCACGGGCTGATGCACAGACAACCGTTCACACTCACATTCACACCTATGGGCAATGCAGAGTCACCAGTCAACCTAACTTGCCTATCTTTGTGCTGTGGGAGGAAACCCATGAGGAGATCCTTTCCACATAGCACGGCCCCAGTCAGCCGGTTCAAACCTAAAACCCTCTTACTGTGAGGCGACAGTGCTATCTACTGCACCAGCGCGTTGTCCTCTACTGCAGATCCATCTAATCCCAAACAAACAAACTCTGACTCATACACTACGAGTATGTGCTTTATATTGTCGTGTCTAATCTTGTAACATTCATGTAAACTGAGCTTCCAGTATGTAATTACAGTGAATATGTAATACAGGTCATCGCACATAAGAGATATCTACTACCTGTGGCAGGGAGCACCATGGGAAGCTGCTATAAATTTACCACATCCCCACAACATGATTAATAATGCTGCAGGTTGTACAGAATGGGGCCAAATAAGTTGAGTCCTGCACTCTCATTCCTGTACACAGCATCTGTCCATGAATCAGTAGCATACATACCAGTCCCCTAAGAGTTTAAATGCACATCCACAAAACCATATTGACTCCCCCTAACAAAGGTACTGTACTGAAAGGACAATAACAAACTTAGACCACAATAGAACAGAGAGAAGAGTGCAGTTGATCACAGCATGCCATGCTGCTCATACTGCTGGTAAACTATTAATACAACCAATATGTGCTGAAAACTAACATGTGATGAACTTCCTTATCGCTTGTAGGCCTAAAATATGGCAGGGCATCTCATTTTATAGAACACCTAACTAGATATGAGCAGTGATTCATTCCATGGTCAATTTTTTATTACACCTGGTAGATGATGACTTTGTCTCCACTGCCAAGCTTCGTTATAATTTGAAAAAGTAAAGCAGAGGAAATGCCACATAACAGCAGTGGACCTGCTGTAAGGCCAGCTCATCACTTACCCAGCCAACGTAAAAAAACACGAGCACCTCTCAGTGAGGGCCAGTTAGAGTTTGAGTCATGATGTTTAAAAACGGCAAGGAGAAGGCTTGTGAAGCAACTGAACTGGAATCATCGATACTAACACAGTAAACCTTGTGCAGAGAAATAGGATAGGAAAGTGCCCTCATAAATCATGAAAATGTTAAACACACTATACTCTTAATACATTTAGGATCATCTGTACTGTTTCTTATTATATTTGTTGTCAGAGTTACATTTCATAGGCCCGACTAAGACTGTTACTGCACTAGTTAATGGGAAATCTTTGAATAAACAAATAAATGTCATGTTAACAAAATTACATTAGAAATACATGGTAAAACACCAGCTATCAAGTCTTTATCAGTGAATTATTGGGGGGTAAAACTAGGTTGTGAGATAAGAAGAGCATGTAAAAATAAACTGTGATGATGGTGAAGTGGTCATTTGGGCTCTAAGACACAGTTCCTTTAGTGTTATAGTCTATTATTATCAGTAGCCATGCTTCTGGGCAGGTAGCAAAGCTATTTGTGTCAGCATATCTATGCAACAATGTTTTGCCATTTAGTCACTAAAAGCTTTCATGCTTAGATTGTTGGTGATGCTTCAGACACAGGTATGATGTGATTTGACCATTATGTCACAGAATGATGCTCACATTGTTCTCCTCTCCTGACACTCTCCATAGGGACTGGATTAAAGTACACGGCTCCCTCCCAGCTCCGTGTATATGACTCACTAAAATGCAGCTTAGCCAGTGATCAAGCTGTGAGGGGCCACGATCACACACTGGGACACCAGGCCTGCCCTTCTGCTCTAAGTCTGCAGCTGGAGACGCCACCAGGAGCATGAGTGTGGGAAGGATCAATCGCTACAGCATTGTGTCATCTGAGGAAGAAGGCCTCCGGCTCACTACCATGCATGGCATGAACGGCTTTGGCAATGGCAAGATCCACACACGCCGCAAATGCCGCAACCGCTTTGTCAAAAAGAATGGCCAGTGCAATGTGCAGTTTACCAATATGGATGACAAATCACAGCGCTACATGGCTGACATCTTCACCACATGTGTCGATATTCGCTGGCGGTGGATGCTGGTGGTCTTCACACTTGTGTTTGTTGTCTCCTGGCTGGTCTTCGGCGTGGCCTTTTGGGTCATTGCTTTGGTGCATGGAGATCTGGATAACCCAGGGGGAGATGACAACTTCACCCCATGTGTCCTGCAGGTCAATGGATTTGTGGCTGCCTTTCTATTCTCCATTGAAACACAGTCTACCATAGGTTACGGCTACCGCTGTGTGACTGAGGAGTGCCCAGTGGCTGTCTTCATGGTGGTCCTTCAGTCCATAGTGGGATGCATAATCGATTGCTTCATGATTGGCGCCATCATGGCCAAGATGGCGAGGCCTAAAAAGCGAGCACAAACACTATTGTTTAGCCACAATGCTCTCATTGCCATGCGGGATGGAAAACTGTGCCTCATGTGGAGGGTAGGGAATCTACGCAAGAGCCACATTGTAGAGGCCCATGTCAGGGCACAACTCATCAAACCTCGGATCACTGATGAAGGGGAATATATTCCTCTAGACCAGATAGACATTAATGTGGGCTTTGATAAAGGCTTCGACAGGATATTCTTGGTTTCACCCATCACTATTCTCCATGAGATAGATGAGGAGAGCCCCCTTTTTGGGATCAGCAAACAGGACTTGGAGACAGCAGACTTTGAAATTGTCGTCATCTTGGAGGGGATGGTTGAAGCAACTGCCATGACCACACAGGCTCGTAGCTCCTACTTGGCCTCAGAGATCCTTTGGGGTCACCGCTTCGAACCAGTCTTGTTTGAGGAGAAGAACCTGTACAAGGTGGATTACTCTCACTTTAACAAAACCTACGAGGTGCCGTCCACCCCCCGCTGCAGTGCCAAGGACATGGTGGAGAGCAAGTTCCTAGTCCCCAGCTCTAACTCTTTCTGCTATGAAAACGAGCTGGCCTTCCTAAACCGTGATGAAGACGACAAGGATGCAGGGGGAGGGAGCAGGGCACTGGCAAACCTCAGTCCAGACCGGAACACCCGACAAGAATTTGAACGATTGCAGGTCACCAGGGCACTGGATCAAAGGTCATATCGAAGAGAGTCGGAAATATGACCTCTACCCATTGATCCAGGGTCAACTCTCAAAAACTTTATCTTAGGGTAAAAATGCAGAACAATGCAAAGTGCCATAGGAAAAGCTGACTACTGTGAAAAATTGAAAAAGAAATAAGACAAGAATAAGAGGGACTTAACTGGAAGGGATGGGAAAAGCAGGCGTACACAGCTTTGAAAATTGTGGTAAGGAATGTCTACAATCAAGGAGAAGGCTAGACCTTCTTCCTTCATGGAAACTTGAACCTTTTTTCACACGGTCATTCTGAGTTAAGTGTGTTTAACAATAGTGCATCAAAAAACTATTGGGACAGGACCTTATAATCAAATTTTAGGTGTAAATACATTGCTTAGATTAGTTATGTTTTGTGTGCAGTATCAGTTTCCAAAATCACTGCTAAAAAACTGAAATTATCATTTCAACTTATTCTTGGGCACAAATAACAGTGCTACAAGCTTTCTCTTAAGCTGTCCTCACATTGGTGTTATTTACCGGACATGTGTCCAGTGACACATTGAAAATTTGTGCACTGCAGCATTCAGATGCAATGAGCCATGAAATAACGTCTGACCATGAGCCACTAAGAACAACATAATTTAACACCTTCATTTTAGTATTGGTGTGATCCAAAATCTACCAATGTAGGGAGAGCAGGCTTTAACTGCACTATGAAAAACATAAAGGAATATGTAGAACAGAAATGAAACTGCAGAGAAAAACACTTTTTACAATCTCTAAATGTCTCATATACTCACCAACTACTTTATTAGGTGCACATGTACAGTACAATTGAATGCACTTCAGTGCAACACTTCTGCCTTAACATTTGTTTATGAAGCTCAAAATGTTTCTGTTTTTGGTGAAATTGTCATAAATGTATAAATTCAGTTATATGTTTATCACTGAGGTCACAGTTAAAAGTGCTGTTGTACTAAACTACATTATATTTACAGGTGTCTCTGTAGGTTATCCTCTCCAGCTACATACATAAGAGGGTCAGAATATTAGGAACACTTCTGAATATAATGTAGTCCAGTACAACACCATCTTTAACTATGACCTCAATAATGTATAACTGAATTTATACATTTATGACAATCTCACCAATAACTTAAACATTCTGAGCTTCATAAACACAGATGTTAAGGCCGAGGTGTTGCACTGAAGACCATACATTTGTACATGTGCACCTAATAAAGTGGCCGGTCAGTGTATTTTAACTTTAGCCACTAAGTAGTCAAATAGCAGATAACTGACTTAAAAAGTTGTCATTTCACAAAGATTTCATTTGTTCCAAGATGTGATACTCAGGTTTGTATTGATCAAATCCACAAATGAATAACAGCAATCTGTATCCAAACAAAGAAACTGTACCTAAAACAACATTACCTTGACAACTTTAAAGATGACCTTATAAACTAAGTTAAACTAAAACCCATATTTTGGCTGACATTAACAAGTCTCCTTCTGTTCCATATAGAACTGAATACACTCATTGTGTTTTGTTCTTTTTAAAATTAACCTATGCATATTGTTAACCATATCAGGGGACAGAAATCCTGTGTGTTGATGTAATCACGTGGCTCTAATCAATGAGAAAAACAGCCTAAAAGAAAAACAGCCTAAAAAGACTAACTAAATTTCTAAGAGTAGCTGTTATGTTTATCAAAATTATCTGAGAAGAGTTAATAAGATTAATTTCAACAATTTACATATCTACTTTATAAACCTTTTATAGGATGAATGGAAGAATGAGAATTTGTCCTGCAGCTTGGCCAGAGAGGATTCCTATGGTGAGGCTAAGTTGAAATGAAAGGTTTTGGTGCATTCCAAATGCTAAATAAACAAGCACCCTAAGGACAAATGTGTCTACTACAGTTGGCACTATGCTAATAAGGTTAGAATTGCCCAAATGTACAGCCAACGTACAGAAGTTGTGCATTTCAATTCATTTTACATCAACAATGGCCCTTTACAATGTCACTAACAGGGTCAGTCTGTCTCAAACTTTACCTGGGTTTTAAACTAATGACAAGACAAATATATCCTTTAACTAGTCAAATGAATGTGTGCAAGATTAAGTTTGGCTAAAAGCCTGTTATCACTGTAATTGCTGTGCAAACAAATATACACGAGCAACAGTAAAACACAGAGAATAGCTTCCTCCTTTTCCCCTCCTCATACTGATTCCTCGGCCATTTAGAAACTGTAAACAGTGAGATGCATTTTGGCACTACATTAATTGTCAAGACACTAGAGCAAAGTCTGAACGGAAGCAATAAACAGAGAAGCACAGCTTTCGCTACAATTTCAGTAAGGGTGTTCATAAACAAATTCTTCACTGAACGCGCATATTTATAATTCTTGATTAACAGACAAGTGAAATTTATTGCAAGAAGAGTAACCCTATGTTTTTTAGTTTTTAATTGTACTTGTTTGCATATTATTGATGTTAGGATACCAAAGTAATAGGGTGCTGCTCAGACTTAAGTTTTCATTTTTCCCCAAACACAGCTAAGATTCATCTTGAAAACTAGGTAGTCATATTCCATAAAGGTGCTTGAATCTCCAGTTTGCAAATAGTCTCCTTATAGATTTAAATCAATACAAAATATGCTGTTAATTACAGCAAATCCCTGTTCAATCAAATCAGGAGTTAAATTGATCCCTGTTCAATCAAATCAGGAGTTAAAACTGAATCAAGTAAAAATTTAAGAGGTAGTCTTAGATCATTTGTTGTCACTATATATATAATAGTTTAAGAGACAAAGTTAAGATTCATGACAACTTTTTTCTTTGGAATAGACAGTAGAATTTTAAAACAATCCTTATTCTAGATGCCTTGTCAGAATTTATTGTTCTAATCTCAACATGTCCATGCTGTGTCACAATATACTCCTCTCTAAGTTAGCTATTACCTCACTAAAATGTGATTGTCATGTCCATGTGAAACATTTTAGTTACTGTTCACACATGAAAGGTTGTGTATGGGTAGAGAAGGATACCTGTAGGAGATGGTGAAAAACCACAACATGAAAACAAAGAGGAAAACCATAAAATGGTTGTTACGTTGGTCACAATGACTAATATTTTCCTAATTGCCATTTAACTCGAGCAGTATGCTATAACCTTTCTTGGTTACATATACTGCTATATTTTTAGAAAACTTTAGGATGCAGTATAATATAAAAAGCCCTTTATGGCTAATAATTGAAGCTTTCTTTACCCAATCAAAAACATTTATTATGCTCATTGCCTTCTGGGAAGGTTTTAGAAACTGAGGTGTGGACCTACTCACAAAATGTCAGCGGTTAAATAAAGGTGAAGCCTTAGCAGTTTCTATGTTGCATCACTGAAATGCATAGCTCAATCATTTATACTGAATATTATTTTTTCTGATTGTTGTGACTTTGATGTTGCCCACCTGAGCCCTTAAAAAGAAACACACAAGTTTTAGATAAATATAAAGGTTTATGTTAAAAGCACAGTGATGTCATAAAAATCGTAATAGACAGCAGCCAGGATGAACAAACCTGCTTATTTTTATACAAAGTTCTATTTGATAGGATAGAGCAATCAGAATTTATCTGTTTTTATCACAGTAATACATGAAATCACTACTGAGAGGCAACAATATGACTCTTGTCTTGGTTTTCAATAATTTATTTTCTGTAGTTTTATTCCAGCACAGATGATTAAACAGGTATTTCTCTTAAAGGGATGATTGGAAAAGCCTTTGACCTCTGTGGAAGTCTTCCTATGTCCGGCAAAATGTCTGCTGGGCTTTGGATTTTAATTGAAAGTCCTTTAAATTATTCAATTAAAACCAAACTATGAAAAAGGTTGTCTTTTATCTCTTTTGTTGATAGTGGTTCACCAGTCTGGGCTGTATGCTTTAGAGTGTAACATCTAATCAATGAATGAAATGTGTGCCTCCAGAACAGCTTCAGTGCACCTTGGCATTGACTCTGCAAGTCTTAGAACTTTACTGGAGGGATGAACACCATCTTTCTGACAAGTCAGTCCAAATTGGATTGAGCTCTGGCGACTGTGAAGGTCACAGCATACGAGTCTGTGAAGGCCTCAGTCCTGGCCTTCACCATGTGAGGGCCTAAACCACCACCAGCCATGGACTTGGGTGGGTAATTTATATTAGACATACACAATTGATCGATGAGCATGCACGTTTGATTAATTTTGTATTGTTAATGTTTACCTTTTCTTTTGGGTTACCGTGTTTCTTGGTCCATGGATTGGGGGGTGGGGGGGTTCAGCTAAAAGATTGGACTGATGAAGCAGCAGGTTTAAATACTTCCCACTAGGCCTGGACTGCACCAAGTGCCCAATATAAGAAAGGGGGGAGTTTGGGAGAGATTTATTGTTTATTTGTTGGTAGTTTATGTTAGAACTTTATTTGTCAAGTTATGTTAATTTCTTTACATTTAAAGGACATATTTAGTTCAGAACGGACTGTCTGTTTAGGGTTTATTAGTTGATTATTTTGGTAGTGGCTTTAGTTTATCCCTTGCGTGTGTTATTGGTTTGGCCAGCCAGTATATATGTTCCCCTGCCTGTGTCATTTGTTAGGTCAGTTGGTTTTGTTGAGGTATTAGACAGTTCAGTTTGCTGTATTGTGAGTCTCCTTATCTTTTGTTGACCTCTTTTAGGGCTGAATTTATCTGATGTTAATTTTGTATTTTTCTTACTTTTGGGTTAATAAAAAGCCCTTTATTTTGAACTTTGGAAGCTGTGTCTTTTGCCTTACTGATTGGTCCCTGGCATATGGTGGCAGTGGTGGGATCATCCAGTGAGTGACACAGGTTTTTTTTTTTTTGTTTTTTCCTAACTGTGGATGGAGTGATGTCTCGTGGAGGAGCAAAGGGAGGCTGGGCAGATGGAAGAAGAGATGGGCTCACTCAGCAGATGGAGAAGAGATGGTCTCACTCAGCAGATGGTTCCAGAGGAGGAAGTGAATAAGGGAGCTTGTGGAGGAGTTGATGGCGCTGTGGATGAAGGTAGAGAACCAAAAATGTCAGACCTGTATTCAATTCTGCAGACTCTTATGGGCGAGCAGGAGGCCCGAGAAGCTCAACGGAGGGAAGAGAGTGCACGGCAAGAACAACGGTTTAAGGAATTACAACATCAGTTTCAGCTATTACAGCTGGAGGTACAGGTGTGTACAACTCCTGTTCCTGATTCTCCACCTGTAGAGGGTGAGCCAGTGGATGTAGAGCTACCTGATTTAAGTGGGGGATGATGGGCTGAGGGCGACTGGGTTTTTCATCTGATACCCCTGCTGACTGGTAAGGTGAGAGGTGCCTATGTACATATGGATTTGGATGATGCTCAGGATTATGAAAAAAGTAAAAACTGCTATTCTAACTAAATACGACATAAATCCTGAGACTTATAGGCAGAAATTCT